TGACAATCAAGTTATTAGGGTAGATTTTGATTCGGGTCGTGTTATTTTTTGTTCTATTGTCAATATGTTTAATTTAATAAAATAATCATTACTACAAACATTGATTATCGAGTTGGGTGGGTATGGTCAGGGAGAAACTATGATTTTTGGTAAAGTTCAGGCATTGGGTTAGATTATCAAGTATGGATAAATTTTGCCAGACCTATGGCATACATTATTAATCTTTTGACATTTTATTTAGGAAAAATTGCAAGGAAGGTCCTTTTAAGTGGTCGACCTTGTGAGTAAGGTTCTTTTTAAAAAAAATGTGGCACATAAGGTCCTTTTATGACAATTGGGTTGTGAGGAGGGTACTTTGACCAATCTCCGGCGTTGACCTCTGTTTTCCGGCCAAAAAAAGTCATGTTCTGTGCACGTGACCACTTACATCAATTTTTTTTTTCTTTATTTCCCTTTCCCTCTTCTTTCTCGATTTCCCCTTTTCCCTTACAATTTCCCTCCCTTATCTCCCTTGAACCCACCATTAATGGCAAAGTTGCAAAGTGCGGTTCCCTCCACATCTAAAATCCGAACCAAATTCCGAGATAATAACCACTACAAACAGATAATCCCTAAAAATGGTGATTTAATACAGACCAAGGCATGTATGATGATCAGAGGAGTCGGTCAATGGTTGAGGCATTTGCCAAAGTCAAATCATAGTTTAGAGAGTTTGCACTTTGCTGCCTCAATGATTGAGTCATGAGTGGAAACTAACAAAAGCATGAGCCCAACAAATTAAATCACGAATTTGTTGAGATTTCTTGCAGACCTCTTATTGTATGCATCCGTTTTCAAGTTTGGCTAACTCTTGCCTAAATGCAGAATTAAAAATCCTACCCATTGATAATCTGGTATAAGTTTTTACCTTTTTTAAATCAGGAAAATTAAACCCTCAAAATCACAGTCTATTCCTATCTCAACAAATTAAATCCTCTGTTTGGATTCCACACTCACAATAGACTTAATGAGAAGACATTATACCCTGCAATTGAATTCAAATGAATAAGGATATACTCAAAATTAATGTAATTAGCAACCTACAAACTCAATTAACTGAAACTAATTACCATCAACAAACCCCTAAATTCAATTAACACATGAACCCTAGATTGTGAACATGGGCACTTGGCTATCATGGCGATTGCATTATACCGTGGCTTGCGGCCAGGAATTCGTGACTGGTGTGTCGATTCGGGTTGCCGACGGGTTATTATCAGAGAAATACGAAGGAGGGAATTTGGTTCAGATTTTAGATGTGTAGGGAACCGTACTTTGCAACTTCGTCATTAATGGTGGGTTCAAGGGAGATAAGGGAGGGAAATTGTAAGGGAAAGGGGAAATCGAGGAAGAAGAGGGAAAGGGAAAAAAGAAAAAAAAAATCTAATGTAAGTGGTCACGTGACTTTTTTTGGCCGGGAAATGTAGATCAACGCCGGAGATTGGTCAAAGGAGCCTCCTCACAACTCAATCGCCATAAAAGGACCTTCCGTGCCACCTTTTTTTAAAAGGACCTTTCTAACAAGGTCGACCACTTAAAAAGACCTTTCTTGCAATTTTTCCTTTTATTTATCTCGTCCTTGTTAATTTTACTTCTATAATGTGGTTGCGTCAATTTGTTGGAATTAGAAGATAAACTTGTGACTTTTTAGGATTGCGAAGAAAAAACTCAGGAACCAAGCAACAAAGCAATGATGTACTAAGGGTGATTATTACCTAGGTGCATTTAGAGGTAAGATACAACCAAGGGTTTGTTCATATTTTTCAGGTAAGAAGAGAAACCTTCAATTAAGCTCTATGAGATTTGATTCCTAGTATGTATGTTTAATATTTACGAAGTACATATTTATGTGGGGTCAAATACTTTAATTAAAGTCTAAAGCTTCATTGTTCGTTTGCAGAGTTGGAAGAAAATAATTATAGTTCGTACACATTCTTCTGTTTTTCCTTAGTTGTTTGGTCAAGTTGAGACTAAGGAAGGATACATACCATAATTTATATCATAAAGGTCTTCATAGACTTCAAATAGCTAAGTTTTCAATAAGTTTGGAAAACATTTAAAACTTGATTGCATGTCTATTATTGTTGAAGAACGAAATTCTAATTTGAGACATATTGCAGTTCATAAAATCAATTTACTCATTTTTTTGGCACATTTGACCGTTTACTACTTCCTTTGTTTAACGTAAACACAATTTTTTTAGTTAATAGCGGTCTCTAATATTGTATTTTGGTCAATAATATGTTTGATTATACATTAACCAAAAAATAAGCTATTTCAAATCTTATACATTGTATTGTGACAAATTTATCAAACTCTCACATGATTAAACAAAGAAATTTCATATATTGGTGTGAAGTCATGATAAAAGTTTAAGAAGTTTATTGACCATAAACAAGAGAGATTAAATGTTGAATTTACTTTTGGATCGGAATTGAGAAATCAAGTATGTACCCATTTTTTTAGAGTATATATGTATAACTTTCTAGGGTCAATATATTATTTTTTTTTCATTGAAAATGCCAAAGTTGTTGGGTTAGATGTTGGAATTTATACTTCAACGTGAAAACTTCAATTAGTTAAATCATGGAATTTTTGGTGACTGAAATTTCCTATAAGTTCCAGTTCAAAGTAATCCAAAACGAACAAGTACGTATATATTTATTTCTAATAAATTTAAATTTTAAATTTTCACACATATTTATATACAATCAAGCAATTTAGAAATTTGTGACAAATATTATATTGTGACAATTTGAATGTGCTTTGGTAATTTGTTTAGTGTTGAAACCATTGGACTTAATTGTGACTTACTTAGCTTTAGATATTTTCGAATTACAATTTACAATTAAGTGAAGTCTAGCATTTTTCAATTTTTCATCACTTGTGCTACCTTAAAGTTGTCAAATAGAGCATGTTAGTAGAATTAGTGTAGGTTCGTGTAGGGTCAAGGAGTACCCATGCTAATCAATTTTAATTCAAGCTACTTTGAATGTGATTAATTCAATTTTTGACAGCTTTAACCTTAAAGTTCAATTGATGCTAACTTGATAGATTATTTTATCTTTGGATTTCATGGTTTGCTCAGCTCTATACATCTTGTAGCATTCCTATTCACGAATCATTTTAAGCCATACTTCATCTATTCGTAGTAATGATAGCTAGGCAACTTATTTGCTTGTAATTTTGTATTTTCTAATAAACACATGATAATATTTTCCGACTAATTATTCAAATATATGGAGTAACTCAAAATAAAATAAAATAAAAACTATAATATGTCAATTAGTGCATATATATTTTTGTAATCTTATAAAATCTAAATGATATAGACTTATTAGACTAGATGATGATCATCAAATGATCCACTTTTTGAGTCAAATATTTTTTTTGTTGGCCTATAAAAATTGCGGCGGTATACTTGTAATTAATACGAGTACTAAGCAGTTGAACCTTTTTGGTACACGAACTTCGATGCAAGACTTTTTTTCCAATGACTTTTTTTCTTATAAAATAAGTTTGGTGTGTTGCACTTTAAGGAAAAAAATTACTTGTATAAATGGCCGGTGGAATGTGATTGGATGTTATTTTCATGTGTCAAATTTTGAACTCCGTAACTGTTTCATTTTCATGGCCGGTGTTATTTCATGCAGCCGTGAAGATTGTGGGTAATACACGGGTATGTTTATTCGACACTTTGACCATAATATATTATGTAGTCTTGCATTTTAATAAAATCAAATATATATATGAATATAATAATGTAAATGAATCATCTAATTATATTACGTAATATATGAATATAATAATATAAAAGAACTATAAAAAAAATAAAAAAAAAAAATAAAACAAACAAATGTCAACTTTATTAAATTATCCATTTGAGTTGGTTTTATATGCATGCACTCACGTACTATAACCTTATGATAAAAGGATTCTTTATGGACTTTGCTCCAACATCATATTGTTGCTTATTAGGCTCCTGCTTTAATTTTCTATAACCTTACGACGAAAAAAATACACCCTTAAAGTTGTGTTCGACTGTTCGTGTTATTTTTATATATTTCGTATGCTATTGATATACACTATACATAGAATAATATTTGATAGAAGTGTCTTTTAATGTGTAGAGCAAGGTACTATAGATTTTTACATTCAACAAATGATATACTTGATCGAGGTGCAAGAGTAGCTCGAACAATATTACAATAATCATCCCACTAGATCAAGGAGCATACTAATTGTGTTCCCGTCTCACCAAAGACACAAAGAAAAAGGAGATATTATAGTTGAGGCTCTAATACATTCACATTTGTATAATTTACCTAAAGATAGGTGAGCCAGCAAGGTATATGCACGTACTCACATATACTGAGAATTATATAATGAAGGTTACATTTTTTTTTTTTTTTTATTCAAAGCTCAATCACGGAATGTTATAAAGAGAGGGATAACATGGTAAGTTTTTTTTTTTTTTTTTAAAAAAAAAAAAAACCTAATAAAATAGACCTTTTAAATTAAAAGTATATACAAATTGTTTAACTTTATAGGTCATAGACCCTCTTAGGAGCGGAGATAAATCAAAGAGTAAGAGATAGTCTCACACTCTTACCCTAAACTAAAATTGATAGAGATCGGTCATTTGACCAAAAGATCCCATACACGGTGAAATCTATAACAACACTACTTAATGCAAAATACTTTCTATTTTGACAATGTGACATGTTCAAAAGCACAAAGAGTGGAAACTTGCGTGTCGTCCCTTGTGAATTGGAGTGATAAAATGAATGAAGAAAAGCCATTCTCGCCACGTGCTAAAATGAATCACTATATTTTTTGTGCCTTTTTCCTTTTTTCAGAGGTAATGGAAAATGTAAATCAATATGATCAAAAAAAGATTTTGTTAAAAATCATACATGTTCAAATGTACGTATTATGTAGATTAACTGTCTAATAGGTGCACTAGATTCTTATTTTTATTAGCTTAGGAAATGTGTAAATTTTAACAATTTATTAGCTTAGGAAATGTGTAAATTTTAACAAATTAGTATGGATTTGTTTGTGAATAAGCAATACTTGATCTATAGGTTTTTTTTTTTTTTTTTTTTTTTTTTTTTTTTTTTTTTTTTTTTTTTTTTACAAAAACTTGATCTCTAGTTTAACAAAATGAGAACTTACACTTAATACTAATCTTGCTCAATGAGTGTACTTTTTTTAAAAAAATATTGAGAACCTACACCTTTAAAATTATCGGAGTTGTTTGTATTATCAATTGTGTTAGTCAATTGACCTTACTTAAATTTAAATTCTAATTATAAAATTGAGATTTTGGAAAATATCCTTATTAAAATTACGGTTTGACCCATGAAATTATAAGGGTTTTTTTTTTTAATTTTTTTTATTATCTATTAGACTAATTTCTAGTAAACATAAAAATAGAAAAAAAAAATTATGAAGCCGAGTTCAACTTAGTATCAAACAATGTGGAATGCCCAAATCTATACGTAAGATATATATATGTACAATTATTAGCATGTCTCAAAATTGTTTACAAAGCAATGCAAAGACACCATTACTCTCTTTTTTATGAACACTACAACTCTCAGAGAGTTTGTTCAAGGACCTTCTAAAAAGATTTTTGAGTGGACAATCTTCCACTAAGTTAAGGTATGTTTTTAGGTCATGACATTTTGCAACGTCCATGTTGCCCAAGTAGTATGATAGTTGCTCTGATTCACTGCTCGCTAACCGGAGCTCCCGTCCCACCTCGGCGTACACCCACCACTGTGTGTCCTCCACCCGAAATTGTTGGATCCAATTCAAGCATAACTCCGCCAATTGGTTTAATTTTTTGGAACCACTATTGTTACTAGGACTTCTACTTTCAACTTCACCGAACCCAAAATGGCTACCACCACAACTACTTTTAATTTTACAGAAATGACTACTGATGTTACTTTCAATTTTACCAGGACGGTTACTCCTATGGTTACTTTTATTGTTAGTGTTATTGTTATTGCAAGGATTTTTACTATTTTTTTCCTCAAATTTTTTCGTAGGACTAGTACTTTTATTATTTATGTTGACAAACTCTTCAGTATTATCAGTAACAAACCCGGGTACTTTAGTGATGAGATCACTTGGATTGACCACCCTTAGGATTTTCGTCCCTTGTTTGTCTACAAGGGAACGGAAGCTTTGGTTTCCCACTCGTGGCCCACCGAAGGATATCACAGTCAAGAGTGGGGCCCGGTCGAACGTAGTCTTGATGTCGTAGGCTGCCAACGTAGCGAGGGCAGCCCCTAGGCTGTGGCCGGTGATGGTTATACTAAGAGGCTGCTTGTCTTGGTAGAGCTCGAGGATCCGACTTACCTCCATTCTTATTGAGTCCTGGAGACTGGGCCACATGTCGGTGCCCGAAGTGTATAGGCTCAGAAATCCACTTTCTACCATAGGGGGGCCATCTAAGTCCCGTGGGTCCATATTGTCATTATTTATCGATGTGGACCCTGGGACTGGGGCTAGAGTGGCTCGTAGGTTCTCTAGCCACTCTAAACATGTGGCGGTCCCACGTAAGGCGATGACTACCTCCCGGCGCCCCAGGTGGTCAATCATCGCCTTATCATTGCAGACCGCCACGTACCCAATCCAGCTGGTCTTCACCGGAGACCAGTTGGATTGGGCCCATTCGGGTACTTGAATTCCCGAAGTAGCTCGGAGGTGTCGGGTAAGCCGAAACCCGGGTGTTGGCAACCCACAATCCCTAAAGAAGGACTTTTTCTTGTACTTGGATGACCCAAAAGAGGGTGATCCAGGGTCAAAATCGAACCCCCGGTACGTAGCCTCAATAAAGGACCCGTATCGGAGGATCTCATCGCGAAGATTCTCATCAAGTGGGTCAAGTAGCCCTTCCCAATCCCTCGCCCCCATGTACTCCTTCCAACGATCAGCAACACGGGGCGAGCCCATATGCCTCACCCCACGACCCGACTTACTCGTTGTTGTTGTTGTCGTCGTCGTGGCCGTGGTCGGTTTAATAGAATGATGGAGGAGGGACTGCTGAGACGACTGAAAAGTCATCATAAGTTGTTGAGTTTGTTTAGTGAGATTGCAATGCTGCTGCGTGGGGACATGCGGTGATATGCCGGAAGAAGGGATATCATAAGTTAATGCAAATGACTTCATAGACAGCCTCATTATATATATATTTGGGCTGCTATGATATTATTCGTACGAAAAAACTATATATTATACGATTTGATGAGATATTATATGAACGAAATAAAGTTATTATTGTTATTGATGAATGATGATATTTTTTTGGGGGGATTTTACATATAAGCTAATGTTGAAGAGTAGCTGTTATGTAGCAAAAAATAATGTTTGGGAATGAAGAGTTTAAGCATTGCCAAATTTATAGGAGTGGAGAGGGGTAGAGGAGGAAAAGGCATAAAATGGAAGAAGAGTGTGATTGAGACTAGTGTGAGAGTGACACTAAACGAGTAGAATCTCATTGGTTGAATTTTCTTTAGTGAGAGAAAACTCTTGATTTTTTTTTTTTTTTTAAAGCATATGCTATATTTTTTCTAATTCTTATTAATTGACATGTTATAACTTGGACGTTATTCATCATATAAGTTGCTTTGACTAGCTTCTTTTAATGATTTGCACTAAAAATAATAATAACAATCAATGTAAAATATTTTGCAAGTTTTAAATTATTCACAACAATTTTTACTTGATTTGTGTGTGTATGCCTGACATAAGTCAGTAATATTTGTAATTATACATTACAGGTAGTAAAAAGTACATGAAGTAGTTGATATAATGAAAATATACATAAAGACTAATCCAAAAATATTTTACATGATATTTGATTATTATATAGAGGGAGCCCCAATTCCTCATCATGATGAACACTTTTGTTCCTCATCTCATAATGACATTTTGGAAAATAATGTGATGTTTTTTACTAGTGGAGACCGCCTGTCAATTTTAGGGTGGACCTCTCTGCTCATGACACATACCCCATGAGGAACAAAACTTGTTCCTTGCAGTGAGGAACAGGGAATTACTCTATTATATATTGATAAAAATAAACATATAATCAATGCAAAGTAAGTAATGAGTTTATAGTCAATATATTGTTACGATTAATCTGAAACCACAATGGTTTTAGACTTTTTAATCTCAATTTTTTCCATAATTGAGCCTATTAATTGATTAGTTGAATTCATTGATGTTCAAAATCATGCATTATGTTCGTGTCAACTACTCCGTAATACAGAGTATATATCAAACAGTGGAAGTAGGAATTTTTCTAATAATTTTATTTTTATGTTGCATAATTTTGTCTTGAGTTAGTTATCATTTCCTATATATTAATGGAAACACTCAAGGACTGAGTTTCTAAGTCAACTGTCAAGTGCTAACCTTAAAATTTTTGACATCTTGAGGACATGCAACATGCATGCGTCCATGCATGTAGGAGAAATTTCCTTTCAATGACAAGTCAGTATTTAAACTTTCGAGATCTTTACTTCGTAAAATGTAACCTACATCTGAATCAAAAATATTGTCATACATTTAATAAATCAAAATACTCGTAAAAGATAAAGACGACTAACGACTTATAAGTTATAACCGCATTGAATTGGCCTACATACTTCGTTTGTTTTATGTGGTCAATGGTCATAGGAGAGTCTCCTCCTTTGTGGTGAATTTGGTTTAACCCAATGAAGACATATGATCTTGATAGTTTCATTTTTTATATATTCAATTTTTTTTTTATAAGGTAAGGGAGTCCGTAAAGTAAAATAAAATATTAAATCAAACCAAAAGATTAAACTGATGATTAAAATTTTATATATCTTGTAAAATAACGTGTCACATTATTAAAAATGGAAAAATGGAAAAACTAGATATAGATCAAGATTTTATAATTGGAGAATCACAGGTTCATATATAGTCCCAAATAAAAAGAGAGAAAAGGGGAGTGGGGGATGGAAGAAGAGCGAGTGTGCGTAGGGGTGCGTGAGGGTGGGGAACCCACGCACACACTGTCCACCACGAAAATGGGAAACATAATTGAATAAACCGTTGGTGCTTCTAAACGAGCAAACGATATTATTTGGAAATGGTGCCCTATTATGCCAATATATGACTATATATTTGTAATTTTGTACACTATATAATTAGCTAGCTCGGAATGTCACAATTTGGAGATCCTATTCACATTTATGGCCCATTTAATGTTTTTCTAGCAGTAAATGTTTTAAACAGTGTCTTTTCTCCTTTTTATAAGAAAACAAAAGTATCCTTCTCTTCTGATAATTGAAAATTGAAAATTTTTATATACACCCGTGTGTAAGATACACCAAGGTTATATTTAGCTCATTTAATGATTAGATGAACAATAACCATTCTCATATAATCATCAAAATAAGCAAATAAAAAATACCTTCCGGTTCACCGTGCACCCAGCTGTATATAACAACCTTTGATAATAATAACATGCTCAAACCTTAATTTGTTCAACCTTTATCTTTGTTCTTTACGCTTTGAATTTTACAATTTTCAATATATATATCTTTGATCACGAATATATTCAATAAGATACGGGATATATTTTATGTCAAATCTAAATAGATTCCACATTATATGATTTTAATGTCTATAATAGTGAGTTTTAATTTGTCAAAAATTTATTGACCATAAAAGCTAAATGTAAAGAATAAAATATAAAGGAGCTAGAGGGTGTATAAAGGGATTTATTAAAGTACACAATAATACTAAGTGAAAAAATAAATAAATAAATAAAAATAAATTAAATTAAATAAAAAAATCTTATTTGCGGAGTATAAATTATTATAAGATCACATAATCAGTAAACAAGAATACTTTTATGGAACAGAAAAGGTACTAATTATGCCAAATTTTTATAAGGAGTTGTAATTTTTACACCTCGATGTCGAGGTAATTTCAAGCTCAAAATATGAAAAGTTTATCGCATCATAAATCATCAGAAATCATAAAAGTTTGTTTTTGAAATTAATTTAGTAAGAAAGACTCAAATAGAATTATAAACTATCCTCCTTTCCCAATTCAACAGTGAAGTATGAGTTTTTTTTTTTTTTTTTTTTTTTTTTGAATGGAGTGAAGTATGAGTAATTCGGTTGACTGTACGTTGGAGAATCTAGTTTTCCAACAAAAGATGAGAGATTCCAATTTTTTCGGCAGGGAAATATTTTTAGGGATTGAGGATGGATGATAAATGAATTGCGCATATACTATTTATAGGGGACCTAGCCTAATAATACACTTCCAAAATTGATACATTTTTATTTTGTTCATTCTCATTATCACTATGATTTTATACTTTATCTTTATAATATTACTTATAACGAAGTATGTGTCTTCCTATTAAATCATTGAAGCTTTGTTTGTCTTGGACGGAACACATTTTTTCGAAAAAATAAATTTCCTATTTTTTTAGTGTTTAGTTTGTAAAAGGCGAAGATTTTTTTTTTCCTCAAGAGTGAAAAACATTTTCCATTTTTAAAGAGGAGAATGTCACATTTCCTTTTATTCCTATAGCATTCTTTCTGCTCCCTGGATCTATACACTTCAACTTTTAAAAATCATTTTCTACTAAAAATCATTTTTGTGAAAAATATATTCACTCAAAACACACAAAGCCTAACTAGCGTACTAAAAATACAAGTAATTTTATTACACGAGAGAGAGGGCGGGTGAGGAGCGAGCAATGAATACAAATTAGTAATTTTATAAAATTAAGTCAATAATTAGAGATTTTCGGGTGGTATTTTACATTTTTACAATGTCTAAGAAAATATTTTCTTCTAAATTCACAATGAAACCTGAATTTTCTTTCTCATTAATAGTCAATTTATAATTTCCAAACCTAAAAACGCAATAAGATTAAAATTAATGTGGATTTTGGAGGATGACTCCGTGGGAAAAGAAAAGAGCAAAAGATGGGAAGTTGACAAATGACGTTAACGAATGTAAAAAGAACACACGAACTGTTTGTGGGGTGCGACTACCGAACTTATATATACTTCAATAACTTCATTCAAATATTTAATAATTATTTCGTATGAACTAGTTTCCTTTTTTCCTCTTTTTTATGTTTTGTAAATTACTTCAATACTAGTTTTTTTAGGGAAAAAGAATATGAATATGACTCAATGGGACATACTTGATTTGAGTCTACCATACAATTAGTGTTTGGTCTGATAAAATAATTAAATAATAAATATGCTTGTGGAGGTGCTTCAAATTGGGGATCCCCAAACCTTTCTTGTGTATCCATCTTTTATTGTTTTCGTTTCCATTTTTGCATAATATATACATTGACACATATAAGCAGGATTGTAAACACAAGTTTAAAGTAAAGGCAATATTAATTACAATTAATCTATATGGACGACAAGGTAATTTGTATAGGATGGGCTGAGGTCCTATAAACTTACCTTAGGGTATATTGAACTTTCAACGACTAAATGCAAAAGGTTAAAAAACATTGTTTCCTAAAATTTTTCGTACAGTGGTATTAGAGCCTCCTTCTAACATCCACATTTGAATGTTTTCAATTGATTTAATTTGTTTTTATATGGAGCATGGCACCACCTAACACTATTACATTAGTTAAGTTTTGTATATATGTATCTATCTCTTAGGCATAGTTTCAAAAGAACAAAGTAATTAATTAAATCAAAGAGGAATTAACAATTTAATGAGATAATTGTTAAAAACTTTTGCTGACAGATAAAAGATGAAGGCTTTTGTTGAAGCTACTGTATTTTATTTCTTGCCGCATTTGGGATTTAAGAACGTTAATTAATATGGGGTTAATGGGGTGTTGCTAATTTTTAATTTTTTTTGGAAAAAAATATGTGAACTTTTTATTGTAAATAATTAATCGTATAAAGATAGTGCTTTTTGAAGGGATATAAATACGGTCTTATGTTGTGTTTTTTTTACTGTTTATTTGCATGATAAACTCATGCTTCTAATTCCTACCATGTGCACGCGGGCGGTCCTCTTATGTACTATACTCCCTTTTTTGAGGGGACTATTCATATAAGTACTCAGTATTTTGTTGAATGACCTTTAATTCTTATAATATCATTGAAACTTACATAGTACATCATGGTGTACTATGAGCATGGTACACTCCGATGAAAATAGCAGCACAAAATTAATTATGTGAAATATACGCTCCTTAATTTAAGGAATTTGCTGGTATTTGTCATATTTATCATATTCAAATTTATAATCCTCTATATTGCAGTAAATTGAATTTTTTTTAGAGAAATAATTAGAAATTTTAGAGAGAGAAATAGAATTTTGGCGAGAGAAATAGAATAATGGTTGTGCATTAAGAATTTCATCATGATTCTGATTGTCATTATGTTAATGGTTATACGAATGGTGTGATTGAGAATAAAGGTGAATTTGAGGATATGTTAAACAAAGGAGAAGGTAATTTGGATGAAATTTCATATTTAATAATTTTCATCATTAATTATGTTATTTCATATTTTAGTAAGAATATTTTGCATTATTATCGTCAAATTCATTGTTTATTTTCAATTTTGACATTTGATGAATTTGTATATATATTGATCCATTCAAAAAAATATAAATGAATTTGTATATTGAATTTGAGAACAATGTGTCAAAGGTTGAAGACGATGTTCTTTGGATTGTGATGAATGTTCTTTAATCATTTCTTTGATCCACACTTATTATTATTATTATTATTATTATTATTATTATTATTATTTTATTTTTTTTATTGCAATAGAATATGT